TGAGTTGCTCTTGTTGGGGAATTAGAATTAGTCTGGCGAGATTCTGTCTATTAGGTGCAAGCTAATAAAGAAGCTGAGCTGATTTCCGGACTCTCTCGTGTGATTCTTGGGCTGAACCTGACAGAAAGAGCCAAAATAACTACAATCATCAAAAGATGAAAAAAGTAAAATTGAGAATCTAGCTCACCTGACTCTCAGATTGTTTGGTTTTTAGATATAGCCTCAGTATTATTGGAAGAATTGATTAATGTTTCTGTATTATTAAGTTAAATGAAAATGTATGCCCACAATCCAAACTATTACCCAAATCTAATTCCTATTATAAGCAATAAGATCTAGATTGATAGGATGATGCATTATTACATTACCTTATGCTGAGTTTGGGCACAGAACTTTATTTCTAAGTTCAATTCAGTGATGATGTTTGAGCAGGATTAATATTGAGATATTTTTACAGGCAAAATCTTCCATGTTTATACACTTTAAAAATCTAATTATTGAAACATAATGCACCAATTTCACCTGCAAAGAGATTAAGGTTTTACAAGTTTTTAATTAAATAAATGTATATTTGCAGATATTTTCCACATATTGTTTTCTCATTGTTACAGATGTGGGAAAGGCTCCAGTTACAAATCCTGAAAAATTTAATGTGAATTTGCCACTATTTATTAACAAGTATAATATCACAGGTGCTGATAAGAAATAAGAGCAGAATCCTTTTCAAGTTGTTGCTTCATACTCAGGATATAACAAAGCCATTCATGTACTTTGAATTCATGTACTTTGAGATCCCTTGTTTTCTTAACTGAATAACATAGGGGTCACTGTTTTACAAAAGTTTTTTTTGAAAATAAGTGGTTTAATCTTTGGTTTTAAGCAGTACACTTGATAGACTCTTATTAATGTATATCTACTTACAGTTCCCTTTGCTTTGTTGCAGCAAGAGAAGCTAGGTGACATCTGTTTCTCTCTCCGCTATGTGCCTACTGCTGGCAAGCTGACTGTTGTCATCTTAGAAGCAAAGAATCTGAAGAAGATGGACGTGGGAGGCTTATCAGGTAAGCTGATGGCAGTAAGCATATAGTAGTAACTCTGCTAGATTTGCTTTTTAGTAATGGGGCTGTGCAAGCTTCCAGTTCGATTCAAAGAGGTGCTTCGGAACATGCAAGAGCATAAACACAGCACCTGTCTGCACCTCATTGAAGCTGCACATGTTACACTTCACTCCCACACATTCCAAAACACCTCTTCCAAATAAAAGTTGAAGCACTGCATAGTGTTTTCTTAGAATATGAGAGTTATCGCTAATATGCAGGAGTGAAACGGATATGCAGTATATGACAGTTAAATCAGCAATGTGAGTTTTGAATGGGGGTGCATATACATCAGGTCTATTCTTTCCTAATCCCTCACCTGTGCTTATCATGAGTAGCACAAAAGTTAGACCCAGTGCTTTGGCTGATTGCTGCAATCTGTTGCAGTACTGAAGAACACAATCAAGAAATGGTAAAATGTTGTGCTCTGAAATACAGTTGCCTAAGATTGAATAGAAGGCTTACCGTGGTCATCTGTCACAGTGCCAGTGTTGCATAGGAATTTTTCACTGGGTTGGTTTAATGTCTTGCCTTTAGCACTTCTAGTAGGCAGATATAAAGTAGTTCCTCTTTCTCAACATATTGTCCCTGTAACACTAGGGGGACAGAGAGGGTGGCATATTCTTCTATATTGTCACACATTGCTATTTTACAGGAATATTCATTCCAATTTTATCACACCCATTTTAGTGTATATGGAAGGCAGGGTGCTGGAATTTTATGTATATATGTAGCACTGGGCCTTATGTATATAGCTCTGGGTCTAACTTCTGTGCTGCTCATAATAAGGGCAGATGAGGGATTAGGAAGAAACAGATCTAATATACATAAAATCACATAAAATTCCAGCACCACTCAGAGTCGCAGAGTGACTAAATTTGAAATATAACTAAATATAAAATAAATGAAATATTATCTTGCTGTCTGATCAATGTCCAGCCATTTCCACTAAAGTGGTCATGTATGCTTTACATACATGCATAGCATAGTTATGCATAGTATAGTTATGTCCAGCACTATAGGATAGCAGTTTATGTGTTTGGGGAATGCTGGGATACATGAATATTAGCAAAATTTTAATCATAAAGCTAGAATAGAAGGTGTTTGTGTACAAAACATGTCATTGTTTTTATAAGTATTACAATAATGATCATGTTTCCTATGAGGATCTGATTGACTGAATAGTCAAATGACCACACAGATGCATGCTTAGGTGATCCATATCTTTCTGTTCTAGAAGTATACACATACACACATACACACACACACACACCCCTAGAAAACCATTTTTTTAAAAAAAAAACTTTGTAGTAAAAATCTGTAATTCAAGTGACATCCTCTTTATAACATCAAACTTGTTATTCTAAAGCAAGAGCAAGAATTAATCAATGTAGCATTACAAAATTTCAGAATAGTCTTTTGCCTTGCCATATCCTGAATTGTCAGATATTATACAAGAGTAGGAAAGATAGGAAGTGTAAATAGGACACCTGAAGTAGGAACTAGCACATCGCCCAAGAAAATTGGAATTGTGGTGTGTGTATATGTACATTTTCAATATATATTTTCTCAGAAGAGCATCCTTTTCATGTCAGCCTTCTCCCCTAATAATGAAGTCATTCCTTAGCAACCAGGAGTTCACTTTTGGAGATCTTCATGAAAGTTACCATGGGTCAACTGCAAGGTCTTATATATAGAAGAGGGAGGGAATAAGGAGATTATTTCATTATACTTTTGCACAAGGATGCAAAATTGCTTTTTTCAGTTTTTCTACTTAGCAGGTTGTAAATCATGATAGAGATGAAGAATTCAGTCTGAACTTAAACTAAATATTAGCCACACATTTGGCAGTGCTTACTGTCACCAAAGGAATCCATTATCAGCAGAAGAAAATAGAGTTGTGTCAGCGTGTATCTGTAAGTGGGAAGACATGAAAGAATATGAAAAAATGGATGTGAAATGAATCTGATGTTTTGCGAAAGTTCCAAATGAAAAGGGACAAAAAATTGTAGAAAAAAAGTGTGGAGTACATTGGAAACACAGCAGGGGATTATATTCTGCTTATGAAGATAGAGATGACACATTCTCCTCCCACACCCAATTCTTATTATTTAAGTAGAATTGTTAGCCTCCTGGGCAATGTCAACAAAGCACAGTACCAAGGCATTCTTGGCTCTGCACATGCTAAAATATTAAGCAGGGTAGCATATAAAATACATCCTGAAAGTGAAGCTCATTGTATCCCGAAGACTTCTATTCAGATGTTATGCCTGAGTATGTCTATACAAGTAAGAGGGATTGGAGCTGCCCTCACATTTGGCCAGAAACTTGCATTGTGGTTCCTGATTTTACAAAGGATTTTGTTTGCATTCAAGTCAATGTGAGTATGCTCCTTTGGCAAGTCTCCTTATTTAATACAAGAAAGTTTGAGACGTAGGTGTGGGGTAACGTTGTTGGTACACATAAGCTCATCTTCTTCCTGAGTGTGATAGCAAAAGAAAGCAAATATTATCACCACTTACTGCTATTATCTCCACTTACAAAAAGAATATGTATGTTATTAATCACAGTAAATCATAAATCCTGGGTTACCACAAAACTATCCTCAAGAATGGCAAAGTAGCTTTTAAATCTAGAGAAGAAATCACTAGGTAAGAAGGAATTCAAACACCCAAGTTAGAAAGTACCTGCAACAGTAGATTTTTATCATTATTATAACACCAGGAGTGTCAAAGGACATGAACAAGTCTTTCTACCACTCCACAAACATCATCACATCGTTCCGTTGCATCCCTTCCCCTCTGAAAAAAATCATCCTTAACATATAATGAACCTAGAAGGCTCTGAAAAGACTAATTTGCTTCACCTGATCCTGACAATCAAAACCCTAAAAAACATTCAAACCAGGACAGAAATAAAGCATCTTTCAGTATGCCCTGTTTCCCACTGTCTTTGTTATTTATCTCTGAACTCCCGTTTAAGACTGCATTTGATTTCCAAAGGAGTTAAAAGTAAACAAATATCCACATCAGCATGAAACAAACCCTCCCTAGCTGCATAATCTCTTTTTTCATTCCCCATAATACCTATGTGTGCTGGGGCCCAACAGAAATTAATTTAAAACAACAATTACAATTATGTGCTTAGAAACCAAATAATATTCACTAGATTGTTTTTTATATCCCACTTCTCCAGTACAGACAAAGAATCAAGTAATATTACTGTTCCTTCAACTGGCCATCCCAAATCCATTCCAAAACTAATAACCTCGTTGTTAACTCAAATAACGTAATTGGAAGCCACTCTGACAAATGGAAGTCCTACAAATTCTAAAGGTAGGAATAAAAAGCTGTACTAACTTTCCACCAGGTGCCTTGAACTGTCAATGTAGCTTGAACAGTATTGACTCCAGTGCTGAGATATACTCTAATGGTTTTAGATCCTAAAGGCCAAAGGTATTTATTTATTTAACAAATTTATATGGCCGCCCATCTCATATAATGACTCTGGACAGCTAACCATTAAAAAATAAAAATAAAAACAAGATTAAACAACCAAAATTCAAAAACCAACATCAGTAACATAAAATAGCTGCCAAGGACATTCAGAACATCCCACATTCAACTTAACCATGAAATGGGCTCACCCATACTGCCAGGGTCCCAGGCTAGATGACAAAACCAAGTTTTTAATGCCTTACAAAATATGTCTTCTTTCCCTCCATAGAATTTATATCCAGCATCATAAATTCCCTACAAAAGGAAGAAAGGTGTCTTCCTATGATTATATGGAAATTCCCAACACTCAGGAGTGAATTCTTCCTACTTCTTGTAGAGTTCTTAAATTCTCAAAAGTCTACATATAAATTTATTCCTAAAATGTATCTCAATCTATTCCATAAAGACCGATCCAAAGCTTTCCTTGTCAAATTTATAGGCCAGTTGCCTGTAATTCTCTGCATAACTCTGTAACATTTGGTAACCTAGGCTCCATAAATCAGCCTCAAAGGCTTAATTAATTAACAGTGATTTTGAAGCTAATGCATGTACTTGATAGCTACAGTATATCCTAGCATAGGCCTAATAAACAGAACAGCACTTACTGGCCCACTGAATATTTCCTAAAAATACTCCATAACAGTTTCTTTTGAGGTTTGCATCTGTTAATCACATATAAGATACTAGTTTTCCTAGTCAGTTTTAAATTAAAATATATATTCCAACATAAAGCTACTTAGCATTTTCATCCACTGTTTATAGTTAATTTTAACTGTTCTAGACCCTAACTATCCTAGCCAATGAAAATTGGAAACTCCATGAATCTCCCTAGTCTTTTAATTTAATTAAAGCTTCATTTAATTTGCTCATAGCAATGTCCATTTTCCTATTTCTAACCCATATAACACAATCATCTCCATATGGGCTTACCTCTACAAGTGGGCGAATTTAAAGCAGGTCAATTATTA